CTAAACACACAAACACAAAAACAAAAACAGAAAACACCCTGAATTTTTTTTTTCTTTTTTTTTCGGGTTTTTTTTTTGAAAGCAAACAAACAAATACAAAAGTGCAGAATTAAACTTGGGTTGCCTCTCAAGAAGCGCTATTTTAAACGTCGTTTGCCTGACGATACCTCATATGCTCTCAAATAGCAAAGACTGCAGTGGTGCACTAATAATCAACGTCTCCAGCTTCCTCTCAACAAATGCCATTAAGTGACGCAGATTCTTAAATTCTTGCAAACACTTAGGAAGCGCATGATCTTCATAACCCTCATCAGCACATAAGTGAAGTATGAAACTTTCATCCTCTTGTTCAAAATGTATCACAAATGCCTCCTTTCTTCGTTCGAATGTACCATGAAAATTCTGAGCACCTCCTCTTGACTCGCTATCACTCTCCATGAATGCATCCCAATTCATTTCGTCACTCTTCTTATTAATATCCTCCAAGCAGTTGTGATCATTCTCCACACAAAAAGAAATATCATCACCGAGGAATGGATCAAAGAAATCCAAACCTGGACTAACGTACGAGGAGTAATCTTGCATGTGGAGCGGGAATCCTTCATCATGGGGATCATCTACCTTGCTACCACTCTCTTGGAGCTCGTGATTATCTTTTCCCAACTCTCCTTCAATGTCATGACTCATCTGCTCCATGCCCTCCTCGTCAGGGGTAAAGACTAATGATAAATCAAATGACTGGGGAGTTTCTATATGGAAATCACAGTGATCTGTGACTTCGTCAGTTACAGCTTGTACCATTCGAAACTTTTGCCTGTATTCTTGAAAAAACAACTCGAGATTACTATAATTTTGATCAAGTTCAACAATAGGTGGATCTTCAAAAGCATCTAGGAGGGTATCATCCACCATATTCCCACCTTCGTAATCTGACTCGCTCACGTGATCATCCCTATTGGTCTCCTCGGATTCGTCTTCTACCAGATGGCTCCTTATGGTATTTATATGCTTCATGATGTTTGAAGTGCTCTGCTACATGGCTAAAGAGCTCTCCCTTATATACTTTAGGTACTCAGAAAAAGTTTCTGAAAGTGTATTCTTACACTCATTCTGTGGCTCATTACTTGGCAAGGATGTAGGAATAGTTGAGCTTTTTGTGTTTGTATATTGTGGGGAGGAAGAAGTGGAGTATGCAGTTGCACAGTAAGAATGGTCATAAGGTGGTTTAATGGGGCAAAAAGATATATGGTGACACCCTCCACAGTACGAACAAAAGTTACTCTTAGGCAGACAAGGTTGCATGGTTGGAGGGTATGAATAAGGGCTTCGATAATTTTGTGGTGCGGGAGAGTAATTTTGATGAGGAGAATAATGAGGGGAATGATACTGGGAATGTTGCGTATTTGGAGGAGGGTAAGAATAGGAAGATGGAATATTTTGTGGTGAAGGAGAGTAATAATGGTGAGGAGTGTAATATCGAGGGGGGTGTAAAGAGGGTCTCGCGTATATGATGAATATTCCATGGAGGTTTGAGGGTAACGAATTCCTCCTGGAATTTGGCTGAATGGGTTCATCTCATGTCTCTTACAAAAAATACCTGAAAGGTTAGCACAGAAAAATCCTACGGAAAACAAAAAGAAAACTAACTAAAAAAAATCTCGTTGAAATTAATTAACGCTTAAAACCGACACCGTCCCCGACAACGGCGCCAAAAACTGATGTGAGTTTTCTCAGACTTAAAATAGATTGTAGAATAGTGGTGTAAGTACGAGTATCGTCTCCACAGGGATGGACAAAAGGGAATTAAGAATTAAATAAATTCAGCGATTAAAAATAAATAAAATAAATGCGTCGTGCGAGATTTGATTGATTGGGAAAATTAACTAATGCGAATGAACGATTAAAATAAAAGAAATTAAACTAATGGGTTCTTTCTAATTAATGACAGTAGGGAACAGGGATTGATTCCGGGGTAATCAGATTTTTGGCAGATCAGGCTTAATTACATGAAATTAATTTAATTGAGCCTAGCTAATCAATACTAAGTTCTTACCGCTCTCGCGGCGTAGAGTAAAATAATTTAGGTGACCAGGCTGATCTCTTATGCGACAGGATCCTAAATTATTACCAAAACGAGCGAGCTTACGGCCCCTTAATCGCTACTAATCTCTTAGCGAGCGATTAAGTGTGTGTGAATGTGTCTCAGAATAAATTAGATCTCTCTTAATTTATTCTACAAGCAATTGTAAATCTAGTTGTGGTTCCAGGTTACAAAAGATAGCAATTAAATTGTTCAAACATAAATTAAACGACATTCATGCAATTAATCCATCAAGAAACTAGGCATACATCATGATTAACCCCTTCATCAATCTTAAATCCCTAATTAAAACTACTCACAACTCATAATTGAAGAATCAATAGAATTGGGAAGAATAGAATTAATTGTCATTAATTAAAAAGATGGAATTTACAAATAATCCAAGGGAATTGAAGAACAAGATGGATAAGTAGAAGAAATTTCGTCCATAGGCCTCTCTCTAAGCTCCCCCCTCAAAACAGGGGTTTACAGGCTGTTTAAATAATAAAAACGGAGCAATTCAGGCGAAATTAGGATTCCAGGGGGCACGCACGCGTGCGTGGCGTCCGTGCGTCCGACAGACTTGCGCGTAAAAAACGTTGGACGCACGCGTGCGTCCCCCCCACACACACGCGTGCATGGCTGCCAGTGAGTTTTCCGGCTTCTCTAGTTCTAATTTGACAAAACTTCCTTGATGAACGTTGTTGATAATGAAGTCCTCTGTCCACCACAACTTGCCAAATTGGATTTGAATCATCCAATCAAGAGATATGAATAAAATGGTGGAAGATCTCATTCTGAAATTGCAACAAGGATCATCTGACTTCATCGTCTGTTTTCACCTTCTTCCTATCAGATTCTTGCAATGGTGTCTTCATATGATTTATATCCCTTGAAGTTGTCTTTCATATTCAACTTGAATCGTGTCCTTTGGATGCTTCTACAAAGAGATATGTTTGAACGATTGACATAAGGACATTCTGAACGTCGTTTTCAAGCTCTATTTGTCTTCTTTTGATCCCGTAGCCTATCCAAAAGCTCTTTTGTCATCAAATCTTCATTGGTGAACCTCTCGGTGACCTCCAAAGCTATCAATTCACTCAAGAATGATTCTCAAGTTGTCCCGATTTCTCTTCAAGCGCCGGTGCTGGACTCTAAATTCTTGATTTTGACTCCAAATAACACAAAACTCGAACCGACGCCTGGTACACATAACTTGAGCTAAAATTGAGATTTGTGACACCTAAAAGTTAGGGAAAACATAAAAAACCGATCCCAACATGCATCAAATGCGTGTTGTAATACGGATTTATCATGCCACAACGCACACTATTTTGAGGCAGAGAGATTATTTTTCTCATATGACATTAGTTGATGTTAATGTCAATACAATCCCAACTGTTGCTAAACTCATTGAAGGTTCTGAATTAGCCTGTGTGATTCTCCCAAAAGGGACAAAATTAATATTTAAAGACGCTTTATATTCCAGTAAATCACGAAGAAATCTTTTGAGTTTCAAAGATATGCGTCTAAATGGTTTTCACATTGAAACCATGTCTGAAAATCAAAAGGAATATTTATGTCTAACGAAAAATAGATCTGGCAATAAATACATTTCAGGAAAAATGCCAGCATATTCCTACGGACTATATTATACATATATATCAGTCCAATTGAGACAAATGTGATATCTAAAATTAATGACCACAATTCCTTTATCTTGTGGCATGACTGTTTAGGTCATCCAGGCAGCACTATGATGCACAAAATTATTCAAAATTCACTTGGACATTCACTAAATAATGTCAAAATCCCACAACCAAGTGATTTCTCGTGCACTGCCTGTTCTCTTGGCAAATTAATTATCAGACCATCTTTATACAAAATTGGAGTTGAATCTCCTGCATTTTTAGAAAGAATTCAAGGAGATATTTGTGGGCCAATTGCCCCTCCGTGTGGACCCTTTCGATACTTTATGGTGCTCATTGATGCATCAACACGTTGGTCACACGTTAGTCTTTTATCTATTAGAAATTTTGCATTTGCAAATCTCCTTGCTCAAATTATTCGTTTGAGATCACAATTTCCGGATCATTCAATAAAGAGGATCTGACTTGATAATGCAGGGGAATTTATATATCAATCTTTTAATGACTATTGCATGTCAATTGGGATTGATGTGGAACACCCAGTTCCACATGTGCATACATAAAATGGTCTTGCTGAATCCTTAATTAAGCGATTACAATTAATTGCTAGACCATTATTGATGAAATCCTGATTACCATCATCTGCATGGGGATATGCTATAATGCATGCTGCAAATTTAATTCGGCTTAGGCCAACTGCATATCATAAATTTTTCTCCATTGCAATTAATATCTGGTAAAGAACCAAATATATCACACATAAAAATATTTGGTTGTTCTGTGTATGTACCAATTGCCCCACCTTATCGTGCTAAAATGGGTCCTTAAAGAAGGTTGGGAATCTATGTTGGTTTTAAATCACCCTCAATTATTAATTATCTAGAACCTATGACTGGTGACTTATTCACCGCACGGTTCAATGACTGTCATTTTGATGACAACGTATTCCCAGCCTTAGGGGGGAGATAATAGAGAAATGGACCCACATACGAAAGATATTACTTGGAATGCAACAAATTTATCTTTTCTTGATTCTCACAGAAATGCTTGTGAACAAGAAATTCAAAAGATCTATCATTTACAAAATGTTGCAAACCAATTGCCTGATGCTTTCACAGACTCAAAAAAATTGACAAAGTCACATATTCCAGCTATGAATGCTCCTTCTCGAATAGAAATTCCTGCAGAGATTAGCGAAAGAACTCTTGCTAATGAATCTATGATATGTAAAAAACGTGGTAGACCACTTGGTTCAAGAGATTTGAAACCAAGAAAATTTAAAAGGCAAGATGCAGTTTGTGATGCCAAAGAAGTTCAACCTTCTCAAGAAGAAAATGAACATTTTGAAAATATCGGCTTTGAAGATAACATCAATAATAATGATACCTCAAAAGAGGATCCAATCACCTTTGAAGAGGTAAATATTCCAGATAAAGATAGAAACGTCGATAATTTCGAAATTTCAATCAATTACGTTTCTAATGGAATATAATGGAATAGAAAAGATATTGATGTTAATGATATATTTTCATATGCCATTGCCACAGATATAATGAATGAAAACGATGACAATGAGCCTAAATCTATTGACGAACGTCGTCGTAGAAACGATTGGCCAAAATGGAATGAAGCGATTCAGGTAGAAGTAAAATCGCTAGAAAAGCGTAATGTTTTTGGACCAATTGTCCACACGCCAAAAAGCGTAAAACCTGTAGGTTTTAAATGGGTGTTTGTGCGTAAACGCAACGAGAAAAATGAAATCGTTAGATACAAAGCCCGACTTGTTGCCCAAGGTTTTTCTCAAATGCCAGGAATCGATTATGATGAGACGTATTCTCCAGTAGTTGATGCTACTACTTTACGATTTTTAATTGGCATGTCTGTTTTTGAAAGACTGCAAATGCGGCTAATGGATGTAGTGACCGCATATTTATATGGTTCACTCGGTACAGACATATATATGAGAATTCCTAGAGGCTTTAAATTACTTGATGCTTATAGCTCGAAATCTCGAGATTTATTTTCCATAAAATTGCAAAAGTAATTATATGGATTAAAACAATCTGAACGCATGTGGTATAACCGTCTAAGTGAATATTTGATCAAAGAAGGATACAAAAATCATCCTACTAGTCCATGTGTTTTCATTCAGTGATCTGAATCAGGATTCGCCATAATTGTAGTATATGTTGATGATTTGAATATAATTGGAACTCCCAATAAATTGAAAATACTGTTAAATATCTCATGAAAGAATTTGAAATGAAAGACCTTGGGCGAACAAAGGTTTGTCTCGGCATTCAAATTGAACATTTGAGAAATGGTATTTTTATCCACCAATCAAATTATACCGAGAAACTTTTGAAGCGGTTTCACACGGAAAAAGCTCACCCACTCAATTCTCCAATGGTGGTTCGATCTTTCAATGTGCATGATGATCCTTTTCGACCTTGTGAAGATGATGAAGAAATCCTTGGTCCCGAAATACCATATTTGAGTGCTATTGGAGTGTTAATGTATTTGGCTAATAATACCCGACCATATATTGCTTTTTCTGTAAATTTATTAGCCAGGTACAGTTCCTCTCCGACAAGAAGACATTGGAATGGCATCAAACATATATTCCGCTGTCTCAATGGTACAATCGATCTTGGATTATATTTTTAAGAATGGTGTAAATGCCACTTTAATTGGCTATGCCGATACAGGATACTTGTCTGATCCACAAAAGGCAAAATCACAAATAGGATATGTATTCACCTATGGTGATACCGCTATCTCATGGAGATCGATGAAGCAAACATTAACTGCCACATCATCAAATCATGCAGAATTAATTGCTCTTTATGAAGCAGGCTGAGAATGTGTCTGGTTGAGATCAATGATCCAGCACATACAAAATGAATGCGGTATAAAATCTTTTACTTGTAATCCTACTGTGATTTATGAAGATAACACAACATGTATAGCTCAGATCAAAGGAGGTTACATCAAAGGGGATAGAACAAAGCGTATAGCACCAAAAAAATTCTCCACACATGATCTTGAGAAAGAAGGAACAGTTGATGTCAAACAAATCAAGTCATGCGACAACCCTGCTGATTTATTCACAAAGTCATTGGCACCGAAGAAATTTGAAGAACTGGTCCAAAAAATTGGAATGTGACGTCTTCGAGATATATGTTAAATTGAGGGGAAGTAATATAATGCACTGCACTCTTTTTCCTTCGTCGGGTTTTTATCCCACTGGGTTTTTCCTGACAAATGTTTTTAACGAGACAGTACATTATAATATTATGATACTAACACCCCAGAATAATTAGAAGATGACCATTCAAGGGGGGGTGTTGACATATATTGAATTAGTCATCTTCCAACTATTCCTGATTAGGAATTATTATCACCATTGTATAAATAATTAGGAAATCATAATTATGATTCTAGATGATAATTGTGTGGTTCACAATTATCCTCTAATCCTAATAAGCTTAGCTTTTCTCCTATAAATAGGAAGTCTTCTCCATTGTAATTAAGACACCATTAGAACATCTCTAATACATCTCTCTATCACTAAATGTTCATACTATACTTTCCCTCCCTGATCTTCTGATTATTTCCTTCCATATTATAACACTTTTCAAATAATGTCAACAACATCAGCAAATAAAAAGAGAGAGGGGCACAAAAAGGAATAAGGTGGATTAAACACTTACGCACCAACAATAAGGTCATCGACGATGTTCCTGATATCCATTTTCTCTAAGATCATACTATCAGAGTGAGGACAAATCTATGTAAGGAAATCCATGGCATGAATCATCTATGCAACAAAGTTACACTCACGATCCATGTAGTATCTGCATTTCTGGCTCCCAGGATCAGCCTCATGACCACTGGGCTGTGCAACTTCTGAACCAGTGCCTTGGCCGGCAGCAAAGTTGGGGTCACCATTCCTTTAGGCCAGATGGGCCTACATTTGCTGAAGTGTTTGCCCACCAATTTCATCAGCAACATCCTCATCATCATCACTATCCTTCACGATCACCACATCTGGTTAATGGGAAGAAGCAACAACATTTGCAGCATGGGGCTATTGGGTAGCCCTCGTGGCTTCTTCACCGCCATTCTCACCAGCAGCGGCATTAGGTTGCCCAACAGCATCTTTACTGCCTTCATCATCTTTGTCCTCTTCTTCGTTGGCCTCTTCACGCTCATCATCCAGATCTTCCCCGTCAGCAACGAGAACCGAATGGTTAATCACTTATGGGATTCCCTAGACTTGGAAGTATGTGAGAGGGCAACACAATTGCCCAACATGACCTTCACCCAAGTAGTTGAGCAGGGGTTGAAGGGAGAGAAGGAATGGGAAGAAAGAAAGATGAAAAACGTCGAAGAGGCGAAGAAGATAAAGTGGAAGAACCATGGACCTCAGGGTCCTAACAAAAAGGGGAATCATGGAGGAGGAGGATCTTTTCGGGCACCCCCACTGCCATCTAGAGGAAGTAAAGGCTCGGGCGGGCAATCACAAGCCTCGGGGGTGACTCGTTGCAAGAATTGCAAGAGGAACCACATAGGAAAATGTTGTGACCCTCCAAGATGCTACCAATGCGGGAGCACCGGGCACATGAAGATGAGTTGCCCACAACTGGGTGGAGCAAGAGCCTCAGGACCAAGTAGTGGTACTACTGGGGCACGAAATCAAACCGGGGCTTCCCAAACGTCCAGGGGGCAAGGAAGAGCAAATGCGAGCAACGCACTGTCCGTGAACCAAGGAAGGACACAAGCTAGAATCTATGCAATGACGGAGGCGGACACTCAAGCTAACCCGGATTCTGTCGCAGGTATTACATCAGATTTTGAATGTCTTTAGGCTTATTTTGGGTAAGGGAAGTTGCGGGGGTTGAGTGTGGGTCATCCCGGAGGCAAACCGGGAGGTTTCGCACGGAATGGACAAAGTTTTTCCCACGCACGGCCGGATGCACAAGTGCGTGCCTCCGTGCGTGGGAGGCAGTGGGCTTTCGAAGAGAAAATCTCCCCACGCACGGCTGTGCGTACCCAGCCTCACGCGTGCGTCACTCCGTGCGTACCCCCGTGCGTCCCTCCGTGCGTGGGTGGCAGTAGCCTTCCAGGGGAAAATTTCTTGCACACACGTGTGCGTCCCCCCACGCACGCGTGCGTGGCACCCAAACTGCCCGACGTTGATTTTTTCGCACCAATTTGCGACGTTAAGACCTCTCCTTGATCCCAAACATGTGTATGAACATAATAAACCTCTATAAATGTATATAGATGGTAGGAAGGCATCTTGCATGTCTTATAAATGTAGGAATACTAAAGATTAATGGGAAATATGCGTGAATCCTTATCGATACCAGGGCGCAATGTTCATTCGTGAGTGAGGCGTTCGCCAAAGGCTTAGGGATACACTCGATACCGATGACACAAACTCTAGTGGTATCAACACCACTAGGAGATGACGTTGAGAGAAGTTGTTATTATCCATCTTGTGGGGTGGAAGTCGATGGCCAAACCTTGACGTGTGATTTCGTACCGTTGAGCATGATTGATTTTGATGCGATCCTAGGGATGGATTGGCTAGAAAAGCATCATGCTAGGGTAGATTGCTACAAGAAGGTTCTAGAACTCAAAGGCAATGATGGGAATGCCCTACGCTTCGAGGGTGATCGAGGAAAATCAAATAGTTGCATCATATCCGCCGTGAGAGCGAGGAGTATGATGAGAAAGGGATGCCACACATATCTAGCATACGTGGTGGACAAAACTAAGGAGGAACCGAGCCTCGAAGATGTAAGGGTGGTTTGTAAGTACCCGGATGTCTTCCCTAAAGACCTACCAAGGCTTCCACCCGATAGAGAGATTGAATTTGTGATCAAGGTTGAGCCCGGCACCAAACCAATCTCTATACCGCCGTACCGAATGGCACCTGCAGAACTGAATGAGTTGAAAACCCAATTGCAAGAGCAATTGGATAACGGTTTCATTATACCGAGCTATTCACCGTGGGGAGCACCAGTTCTTTTTGTGAAAAAGAAGATTGGGACCCTACGTATGTGCATTGAAATGAAAGAAACTTCTATTCATTTACAAAAATGACACTGCGTTTTCAATCACTTTAATGCACTTTTAGCACATTTAGAGACATTAGATAAAAAAATCAGATGCTCTAAATTATTCCTACTTTTATAGCTAGACATTATACATTAGACATTTTTGCGCGTGTTTATTCCTATTTTTAATTACTATCTTCTCCTCATTTCCTTCTTCTTCTTCCTCCTCCTCTTTCTCATTATTGTCCTCATCATCATCCTCATCCTTGTCATTTTTCTATGCATCATTCTCTTTGTCATTTTTCTTTTCACACTTTTTTTCTTTTATTAGTTTTCTGAAATTTTACTCCTTAGTTTAATGAATTGGATATACGGGGCATTCTCATCTGATATTGTCCATTCGATGACTACCATACGGACTATCAGAGAAATATCTTGACACGAACCACTCTGCGGACTGGATATACAAGACATTTTTATCCTCTCTTGTTCTACATGGCTGAGTAGAAAATCTTCTCACTTCACTATTTCTTCTAGCATAGTTAGTCTCTCTTTTTCTTAGAAAATCTTCTCACTTTACTATTTCTTCTAACATATTTAGTCTCTCTTTTTCTTATTGCATGCACTTTTCTTTTCATGTGGACATGTGGTGCCATACAAGTATAGCTCAATGCTCAATAGCACATTAACATAGTTTCTTTAGGTCCCTTCAGACCACAATGCATGTGTGCGTGTATATTTTTGACAAATCAATTTTGTTGGTTCATGCGTGCCAATATAATCGTGTAGTGTACGTATTTTCCGATTTTCCTAGAATATTATTAATAAAAAATTTATGGATAAAATTTTAAATACAAATTACTATGTGTATAAAAATTTCAGTGATTGTTTTTTGTATTGCTTTTATCGTTTCTAAGGCTAGTCGTAGGGTTGATAGTGTTTGTTGGTTACAGATAGTTGTTGTCAGTGTTGGTTTCTTTGAGTTTTATTGTAACGATCCGAATCTTAATGATATTAATATAAGCGGTTTTTCCTTTCAAAAAAACATATCATAATGTTATTTTTATAATTATACTCATGTTAGTTCAATTCTAGCCTTTCTAGGTTGTTTGACAAAGACTTTAAATGAATCCATTTTGTACACCAATTCTTAAATGTAATAAGGAACAGAGTAAGGTAATGTGCCCCTTCAAGATCGGCGAGTTGGTTCCGCGATTCCGCCACTGCTTGTCACTAATAATCATTCATAAGTTCATGTCATCACATAATCCAAATGGGAGTAAAAAATACATTCATATGCATATAAAGTTATTTTCATAAAAACCTCCTATATGTGCATAAAAATAAAAAATCTATTTTCCACTTCAAAGCCTCTTAATAATTCTTTATCACAAACCATGTGATACTTGTTTTTTCCCTTCCAAACAAGTAAAGAAAGCCTCACATAACGTTTAAGCTCCACCTCTAGTCCATATATGAGAAGCAAAAACACTTTTATCTTGATTAGCTAGATCCCTCATAATGGATTCTTCCACCTCAATTCCGAATCTCCAATGGCTAAACATGACGTTTTTTTTTACAAAAACAAATAAAAACTTTTCATTTCTTTGTATGCGTACTTCTACTTTCGTAACTCGTAAGTTATGGTCTTTTTTACGCAACAATTAATTGAAAGGGGTTATTCCCCGAATATTACTAAATTAAATTTGATTTTCAAAAATGTGACTACTTTTATATTTGGACAAAAATATGACTAAAATAAAGTGACAATCAAATATTTGTCACTATCCCATTTTCATGTCATTGTCGGATGTCATGTCAGCCGTGTCACTGATGCCACCATCGCTCATGTCACTCTTGCCTCCGCTGCTGCCGGTCACCACCGCCGACCACAGTGACACCGCCATAGTGACACATCCAAAGTGACACCCCCATAGTAACACCGGCCACATTTACCCTTTCCGAAAACCACCATCGACAACCACCGTCGTTGCAGGCCACCACAAAGATTTCCACCAGTGCCGTTCAGCAGTGCCACCCCTCTCATTTGAGTCCATTGTCAACCCAAGTGCCCCAACCACCCGGCCATCCCCATCACAGTCCACCATCGCCCCTGCCCCGCCCCTGCCCCACCCCCAGCTTGACTCCTCAACCCCCAGTCACCTCCCAAGACCCCTCCCTAACTCCAACCACCCCTGATCTCCCAGTCACCTCCCCATCCCCCAAGCCCCCATCCTGATCCCCAACTCCACCATTTCATCTCTGCAGCCCCACAACACCTTCCCCCAGCCCCCGCCAAGCAAAGACGCACCCCAGTCCCACCCAACAACGCCACGCACCACCTTCCAGCCTCGCCCCACCATATTCGATTCGAACTCAGATCTGAAAAATAAAAAAGAAAAGCCCCAGAATCGATTTGAAATTCCAACAGAATGGAGAAAAAGGAGAATCAAGTGTGGTGGCTTGGCAGTCCTCATTGACTGGAGCCATGGCTGTGCGAAGAGGAGCACCGGATTGGAGGAGGAACGGCTGATTTGGCGAGGCAACCCGTGCAGTGAGGCAGCCTGTGCGGCGAGTCCCAAGCGCGGCGAGGTGGAGACGAGGCTGAGGCGAGCCCGGCGGGTTGGCAGAGGCAGGAAGGATGATCTGGGAAGAAGGGAAGAAATGTGTTTGCTGGGAAGAAATGCGCAGAAGAGAAAGAGGTGCAGAAGAGAAAGAGGCGCAAATGAAAGGTTACCGGGTCACAATTGTGAAATTTTTAAAACTGGTCAAATTCGTGTCCAATAGAAGTTGAGAAGTGATATTGGTGACATTCTTTCTAATTGACATGCTTAAGAGTTCAATAAACAGTTTTTCGATTTGGTTTCTCTCATTATTTTAACAAAACGTGATTTGCGGATAATTTGATTTCTATTTCGCAGACCTTTATTACTACTTTAAAGCCTATCTTTTAAGAAATTGGAAATTGATTCGACTGTATCGAGTTACACACATAGCAATGAAGATGGAATGAGGTGTAATCATTTTAGAACAAAAAAAAGCAATCACAGTCCGCCCCGTTGTGCTGTTTGGAATGAATACAGTTTGGGATTGCATCCCTAGTAGCCATGGACCGGTTCCGGGCTAGGCATGGACCCAACCGGGCCGAATTGGACCAGAACCGGCCCTACCCGTTACTGTACGGGCCCGGACCAGCCTGGACCCGAATAGCCGGTTTTGGGCTATAACCCGGGTTGGGCGGGCCTGGCGGGCCGGTTCCGGGACCACATTTATATGAACCGGACCGGCCGATTCGAGCTGGTTCCAAGCCTTTTTTTGTTTTTTCAATTTTTTTTCTTTTCCTTAGGTAGGGCTAGATGTTTTGGGGAGGTTTGGGGGGTCAAGGGTGAGGGGGGGTCGGGGGATAACAAGAAAGCCACACAAAAAAAAAATACATTGAACCGGTTCGGTTTGGCCCGGACCTGGTATCAACCTGAACCGGTTCTGGGCCCAAGTATCTAGAAAAAAAGCCCACCCGAGCCCAGCCCGAAACCGGACCAGCCCGGGTCCATCCCTATTCCGGGCTCCGGGCCGGTCCTGGGCGGACTTTTTATTGTTGGGGGAAGGCCCGAAACCAGTCCGGGTTTTCACTGGGTCCAAGCCGGGCCAGTCTCGAGTCGGTCCTATTTTTTTATTTTTTGCTTTTCTAATTAACCCTGGACCCCCCCCCCCCCCCCCCCCCTCCAAAACACCCAACCCATCTAGAGAAAACAAAATAAATTGAAAAAACAAAAAAAAAAACGAATCGGGCCTTTTCCAAAGGGCAGCCCGGAACCATCCCACCCTAAGTCCCCGGGCCAGTCCTAGGTCCGAAACCAGTACCCGATTCCCGGGCCGATCCAGGCCCGCACAGTAGCGGGCCGGTCGGCCCAGTACCGGTCCAACACTAATCCCTAGCCACTCATCCGGTGCCCTCCCAAATATTAAATGTGTTGATTTATATTCAATGCGAGGGATAAACATACCTTTGCAGTATATGACTGTACAAAGAGACTAGGGATGGACTAAACCGGAGCGGCTCGACCCGGAACCAGCCCGGCCCGTTACTGTTTGGGCCCGGACCGGACTGGGACCGGACCGGGACCGGTTGGCCGGTTCCAAGCTTTTAGCCCGTTTGGGCGAGTCGGGCGGGCCGGGCTCGAGCCCAACTTTTGGTGAACCGGCCCGGGCGGTTCGTGCAAGGCTCTGTTCAAAATTTCTTTTTTTTGTGTTTTCAATTTTTTTGCTTTTCTAGGTTAGGGTTGGGTGTTTTGAGGGGTTGGGGGTGGGGTGAGGGGGGGGGGGGGTCGGGTGTTAATTAGAAACCAAAAAAAATGAACTTGACCCAAGCCCGACCCGGCCCAGTTAGGCCCGGACCCGGTATCAACCCGGGCCGGTTCCGAGCCCAACATTTTGCAAAAAAAGCCCACCCGGGCCCGGCCCGGGTCCATCCCGAAAAGAGACTAATGATTCACATTATTTTAATCTTTGACAAATAAATATTAATGACACAATTTTGAAATTCAACATATCCACATTAATCAAACTTTGCAGAATTTTGAAGGGAAAAAAGCAACTACTACTATGGTTGGACTCGGACCGGGCCAACCAGCCCGGAACTGGACCGGACCGCTACTGTGCGTAGGGGTGGACTCGAGCCGGGCCAACCGGCCCGGAACCGGACCGGCCCGCCACTGTGCGGGCCCGGACCAGCCCGGGAACCGGTTCGTTGGGCGGTTCGGGCCACCCGGCCCGGTGGATTCTCGGTTCGGGCTCGGGCCCTTCAAAAGGTGAACCGGCCCGGCCGGTTCGGGCCCGGGCCGGGCCAATTTTAATTTTTTTTTTGAATTTTTTTTGAGTTTTTGGGTTTGGCTGGTTATTTTGGGCCATTTGAGGTGGTTAGGGTTGGTTTGGGGGTGAGGGGGAGGGGTGGGGGGGTTAACTAGGAAAAGCCCCCCCCCCCCCCCCCCAAAAAAAAAAACCCGAGGCCCGGCCCGGCCCGGGGTTTACCCGAGGCCCGGCCCGGGGTTTACCCGAGGCCCGGCCCGGGGTTTACCCGAGGCCCGGCCAGACCCGGGGTTTACCCGGGCCGGTTCCGGGCCTCCCCTTCTTGAACCGAGGCCCGGTCGGGCCCAGGCCCGAACCGGGCCCGAACCGGCCCGAGTCCACTCCTAACTGTGCGGGCCTGGACCGGCCCAGTGAACCGGTTCGGGCCACCCGGCCCGGTGGGATGGCAGTGCAGGCTCGGGCCCTTCAAAAGGTGAACCGGCCCAGCCGGTTCGGGCCCGGGCCGGACCAATTTTTTTTTTTTTTTTTTTTTTTGAATTTTTTTAAGTTTTTGAGTTGGGCTGGGTATTTTGGGCCATTTGAGGTGGTTAGGGTTGGTTTGGGGGTGAGGGGGAGGGTGGAGGGTTAACTAGGAAAAGCCAAAAAAAAATAGAACTGAGGCCCGGACCCGGGGGTTACCTAGGCCGGTTCCGGGCCTCCCCTTCATGAACCGAGGCCCGGCCGGGCCTGAACCGGAACCGTTCCATCCCTAACTACTACTCAAGCAAGTACAACCGTGCTTTCAAAACAAAATGCAAACGCAGAATACATTTCCCCCATAAGTAAACTGTTTATCATAACCTTATTTTTCTGCCTTCATCTGTAGGCTGTAGCCTAAGATAAGTTACTCCATATTACTCATCACCACACTACATACTAAATTTTTTGAATGGACACTTACAGACACAAGTAATCAAGTATAGCCTACAGGCGTAAAATATCAATCAATCAAGAAGGCAAGTTTCCTCCATGAACATCAATTTTGGTCACGAACTAATTTTCACTAAAAGGGATTATAGTACGCACAAAATAGTTTGAATTAGCTTTTCTCTATAGACATGCCCCCACCCCGAACACTTCATGCAGTTAATCCCCTCTCACTAATGAAGGAAGAAACAGATTGTACAAATCAATAATTCGATACAAACACAATGATACTCGAGAGAAGTGCACACTCATTCACATCAGCAATATTTTCAGATAAGACTCCTAAATCAAAAGGCTGAAATAAACCTTTGGACTCTTGATTGTGTCCTCTCCTTCTCTTCTGTACCATTAAAATCACCAATGTTGTCATGATATTCCTGTAACAGCAGCACACCACATAATACACAGTTCAAAAACTTGAGCACAAATGTACATTGTATTACTTCCTCCGGCCCGCAAAACTTTGGCAACTTTCCATACTTGGTCATCCAAAAAAAACTTTGGAGTTTATATTAATATGTGATAAGTATGTGGCTAAAGTTATTTCTATCCCTTCCACACAAATCTCAATCACACAGTTTTTACTTTCTTATTTCACATGCAAATCAATCAAGGCCATGTTTTACAGAGGAGTATAGGAAGTACCTACTTATTTAATTACTAACCAATTCTGCAGAGCAGAAACAAATTACTACTCTCTATGTCCCATTGTATCTCTCTTACTTTCCTTTTTGAGTGGTTCCAAATAAATGTCATACTACGTATTTCTTTTTTTGGAAAGAAATATGTGATCCACAACATTTTACTTTATTATACTCAAATTTCAACCACAACTTTTATTTTTTAACCACTTCATTAATATTTGTGTCAAAACCAAACAAGCCACATAAAATGGGACGGAGGTAGTATTTGATAAAAAATTGTCTAATCGAAAGAGAGGCCACCAAACAGGCACTAAGTAAGTTTTCTCAAATGAGTAAATGACCGATAGAGATGTTTGGCTACCAAGGACTTTATGCCGCCAATACCCAACATTGTGTATGAGGAAGTAGTAGTTGGAGGGAAAATATTGAACTTAATTTTTGTAAATACCTGGAGTATATCCTTCACATCTTGTTTAGTGAGCTTTTGCTGCTTCAACAGCAGTTCAATCCTTGCTCTAATCCGGGGGTGCCTATATACCATGCCAGGGAAGAGGGTGAGAAAATTAGAGAGAGGGGGGGGGGGGGGGGGCATACCTTCTTTGGTTGGAGGATTTCTTAGGGGATTTAAGGGGAGGGTCGATCCTTATTTTATTAATTTATACTTGCATTGACATGGTAGGAATGAAAGTGTGGATGAAAAACTATATATAAAAGTATGTTATTTAAATCTACGCATTTAATTACTTTCCTGTATGACACAAATCATAGTAATACATAAAACAAATCTTTCTCTCCAAAATCCGCCGACCAAACAGGGCCCTCCTAGATAAATAAATATGGAGCATCTAAGCTGCCGATACATACTCAGAAGTCCATAAATGGCCAAGAATTACAGCAATCAACTGCAGTATTAAAGATAGAGGGACACTATATAAGAACAGAGACCGATAAAACCACAGATAGAGATACTATTCCAGGAAATGGAAGAAAGAGAGAACAGTCAGAACACCCAACATAATCTACCACCTGAAGGGTATAAAGTCCTGCTTCTAGCTTTCTGTTATACTTTTCATCTTCATCCATCTGAAAAAGATTAAGATCAATACACTTGCAGTATGTTTCTCTGGTTCATAGTTGTCGATGGCGAGGAATGGCGTGTGCGCCATAAGGCAAGAAACCCCTCCATCGCCATGACCATACACATGGTGGCGCCATCTTTGCGCCATCGCCATAACAATTGAGGCCATACTATTAAACAAATCTGAACCAGTCTACTTTTTTATTTTGGGGCTTTTATCCCTGATAAATACTTGAATAATCTGTCAGGCTATAATATTAATAAAACCCTAATAAGAAATTAATATGTAAGCCCATTATATTAACTAACATAAGGTACAACATTCCAATTTAATATTAATGAAGAAAGACTTCATTTAATACAAAACCGTATATGAATACGTGATTACTGTTTTTATAAAACTAGTAAACAAAACAAACCTAACCTCCAAATCATCAAGTTCGAGCTGATCAAACTGGGCAGTTTCTTTTTTCACTCTATTAGAATATCTGCCAAATTCATAACAATAACAATAATATTCATAATGATTATTATATTATTAATAATAAATATTAACAATAATAATAGTACTAATAATAATAAGAAGAAGAAGAAGAAAAGATGGAATACTGTCCTTGAGAATGAAATTAGTTTCCTTGAAGGTTGTTCTATGCCATAAGCTCGGTTCTCTTTTACATGCAAAAGTTTTACATTCACTTGTTTCAACGTGCAACTTTAACTATTAAGAATATTTAATTATAATTTAGTCAGTGTTGTCAATAATGCGCTATAGCGGCGTAGTGAAGCGGGACAGTGTTGGGCGCTACCAGACCGCCTTAGTGTCGCGTTTGAAACACCTCTGCTCCTTCATCTTCTTCAAGAACTACATTTGCTACACCCCTCATTGCTTCTTTTGATTGGTATCTTCGCCTGCTTCATCTTCAACAAGAACAACTTCTGCTGCACTCCTCTTCATTGCTTCTGCTGAGTATCATCTTCTGTTTATCAAGACTTAAACCATAAACTTGTTTTTTATTTAATGTTTAGACTTAAGTTGTTTTAATATTACTAGCATCATATATTTTTCTCATGAGACTATGGAGTATTTGTTGGTAATTTGGGATTTATGAATGTCAAGATGTTTGGTACTTTCAATGACATATACTCCCTCTGTCCCATTTTGTAAGATACTTTCCTTTTTGGGCTGTCCCAAAAATATGAACACTTTCCTAAATTGGACTCCACTAACTTTTTACTTTCTCACTTTATCCCTTTATCTATTGTTTCATCCTTTGCTTTTTGTGGATCCTTTTTCCCTTTCTTACTTTTTGAAGGTTATAATTGTAAAAACAACCACTTTATCATTTATTTTCTTAAAACTCGCGCCAAACCTACACACACACACACATATAAACATATATATATTCTGAATAGTGGTCATCCCACTATCTGCTATACCGCTAAAATATTTTCAGGGTTGATAGCTACACTACGCTGTCTAGGATTACAACATTGGTTTTATTTTAAATAATAAAATGATAATGATTTGAAAATATAAATTGAATGAAATGTAATACCTCCATCTCTTAAACCTTTGTCGGCTTTGACTTTTCCGGTCAAAGGTGATAAACCTTAGCTAGTGATTTTGATTAAGACTCCCTCCGTCCCAAATTGATTTGCAAACTCAACATTTTTTGGTCAACCAATGTTATAGTTATATCCTCCATATTGATAATTAATTCAATTTTTAATAATTAAAATTTACATATTCAGAAACTGTATTAATATCTTTTCAAAGTTGCAAACTCCAAATTAAGGACATCTCATATCATTTCGGAGTAAATGTTTTGGGGTTTGGACAAAAAAAACACTAATGGAGAATTAAGGAAAAAATAAGACTGATTTTAAAAAATTCAAAAAATGAAACTAAAAGAAACTAAGAGGACCAATACACCCTTACTAATGTTAACCCACATGACCAGTGTAGTTAAAAGCGCACGCCTGGGCACTTAAGCGCCAAGGCAAGGCGCTATAGAGGTGAGGCAACTTAAACTCTTCCAGGCGAGGTTGTCTGAGTGAGGCACAATATAAGCACAATAAGCGCAGAGGCGCTAGAAGGGCACGCCTGAAGGGTTTTGAAGTTGTTTTAAAAAAAATAAGATTCAGGCCTTTTTTACATAAACCCATATCAATAATAAGATATAGTCCATCCAACTAATCTTTATATATATAAAAAGCCAACCGTCTGTACTCTAACTGTTCCCGCCCAATGTAGTACATGCTGACTCACGTGAAGACAAATTCCAGAAATATTGAGAAAGAAAATTATAAAAATTGCCGCACTACATATTGCCATAGAGAAATACGGAATAGAGGTTAGTAGATAATTAATTAATAGCCTAATTAGCGCAGCTTTGGCTTCTCATGTACGTGTTTTGAACTCCATCTGCCATTCTGCACTCATAACTTGCTGCACATAATTACATAAACCCACACAAATCATCTCTCTACCTGCAGTATATATAGAGGTTGTTTAAAAAAAATTGCTCATCGTTCCTTCCTTAACTCTACAAGTGTGCAGGTGAATAATTTATTTGTTTTATCATCTGACTCTTTATATTGGTTTTAGTTGTAATGAATTATGTGCAAACTTTATCCACCTGCTAAGGGAAAGCAAAGCTAGGCACCTGATAGATAGACTCCTTTCCCGCTGCTAAGGGAGAGCAAGAAAAACAAGAGTATGTCAGTGCCGCCGTTGCCTGCATGTAGGGCCGTCCACCACTCCCGTCACGAGGCGCTAAAGGCCAGGCTTTTTTTTTTTGAATTGACGGTATGTAGTTAATGTCTAATAGTTGTTACTGGCTTACTGCTATATGCTAAGAGTTCATTTACTTTTGGATGAAGTGGTTATCCAATTTATGCATATATGTAGCTGCACATGGATGGAGAGGATTAGAGGGATTTGAAATGATTAAATTATAATCATGAATATTATCTCAATTGAGCAAGTGATTATGCGAAAATATATAAGAATCATAAGATAAATTTCGAAAAAATATCTTAACTATTACACTACTTTTATTAATACGCATAAATATAAGCCAACGATGGCTTTGGTCAGAACTATCAACTTAGATTTCATATTTTAGAAGCTAAAATAATTCGATGTCATATAACTGGGACAAAAAATGTTGATCCAAAGGCTTTATTTGATTGTTAGATGTGTGAAATGTACTTTTTTAATTCGTAGTTTAAAATTCCCTTTAATAGTTTCACACACATTCAATAATGATCAACCAAAGTGATGGTTAATCCCTTTTCCCCATTGGATTATTAAAAAACGTTTTGTTATTATAATTGATAATGTTTTGTTGTTCACAAATTGCAAATCATTAATCCTTACAAGTTATTAACACACAACTGTGCTTGCACCATAGTAGGTCAATAATAAATGCTCTACACTACATTTATATTATTCATAAAGTGTAGTTTTTATTTTGAAATGTTTCTTAATAACCTTGTGTTTGTTTTTTCTATAGCTATAGATATCGATGATCTTATTTGGCCTTACCATATACTACGTAGAAATTTCAGTTTCTTTAAAGTAAATGTTACTGTATTATTGTATCAATTTTAATAATATACATAGTAGCATAATCGAGAATGGTGAAAAAATTTAGATATCGTGCATCGCACGGGTAATATACTAGTAGGGGAATAACAACTTAAACCCTGTTAAAACCCGTCTTAGTCAGTGTATTCAAGAGTCTACAGAAACTTAGAAGGTTTTCACCATTGCATTCTTATAATCTTATATTTCCTGTTTTTGACCCACACCCTGCACAACATGCACAAGGTATCCTCCTCCTATTATTTTCACATCTTCTTTCTGATCTTTTTAATTTCTTTTTTTTTTGTTTTGCTTTTAGAATGTAAAATCTATATCTTTTTTCTTTATTTTTATCTCATCATTTAAAAGTCTATATTTTTATTTTTTCTTTCTTTTATCTCATCATTTTCTTCTTCTATTTTATACTCTCCTATCAACTAACAAGATTCTTCTTTTAGTTTTGTTTGTTTCTTTTATTGACTCTTTTTATATTTTAAAATTATAAGTATGCTATATATTTTATAGTATATAGATGGTGCGCCTGACTCACTTTTTTGCGACTTGAGCCTCAGGCGATTTGAGTGCTCTAGCCCTCACGACTTTGACATGACCTCATGACACAGTCACCAACGACCCGTGGCACCGATGGCCCTGCCCTACAATCACCGATGCTCTAGTGACCGCTGCTGGACCATCACATCAATGACAGTTACAACTTACAACTGTGGCTCCCATTGATCCATCAACGCCCACCAAAAACCCCGATATTAACACCACCGCTCCCAGTGACATGGGGGTTAGTGTCCCCACTCAATGACCTAGGAAGCGACTGCCTGACGATCAATCATCCCATCTCAGGCCGCAAAAAAACAAAAACACAAAAAGGCTGAACCCTAGCCGCCGATATCTAACCTGTTGCCACTGCCTATAACTCTAGTCGCGGCCTTCATCCTCATAACCCTAGCTACCACCAAACAGAAATGGAACACAGATGACGGCATTCAAGCAACCACTCCATCGAAGACAATGCCGGATGTAGCCGAAGAAAAAGATCCAAGAGCTTCAGATTTTGATCGTCGTTGCTGATTGACTTTAAGGTTGAGAGGCCGGCAGCGGTGGCGTTTTAGAAAAAGGCGTAGAAGAAGATGGGCGGATACATGGCAACGGAGGGCGGACAGGGCAACAAATGCGACAGCGATGCAGATGTGAAGAGGATGGGGATACACAAGCAGAGGCGATGGGTGACGCGCATTGATGACGTTGCTAGGGAAAGCTATGGTGTGATGCTAGATGTAGCTATCGACGGAGCTAGGCGGCAGTTCTAGATGTTGCTTCTAGCGGAGATGGTTGCTGCAAGTGGCGACAGGAAAGAATAAGTGAAAGGAGCTGCGAGAGAGAATTTGTTCAAACCAGACCACTCCAGACTAGAACAACAAATTTTAGTCCAAGTAAAAACATCCAAAATGGTATTTATGTAATTAGGTAGTTTCATTTTAGGAGCAGTCACTTTAACTGATTTTTACATTATTTTTGACAAAACTTGAATCTTATTTGTGACATTATTTCAAACATTGTTCTATAAAAATATAGCATTGCTCGAAGTTTAACTTGGTTAATTAGAAAATCTGAAGATGACAAAGTTGCAAGGGATGGAGGGAGTATCCTTTTATGTAATATTTTTATAGATTAGTAAAAAAATGGTCAAAGTAAGACATGTGGATAGTGTAAGGTCAAAAAGTTCCGATTAATAAAGAACGAAGAAAGTAATGAAGTATATAAATATCAAGCACGCTGATCACCTTATGTATAGTTCCATAAGCCTGTCTATCTTCTCACACTCGTTTTCAACAAATTTACTCAACAGTCTCTCTCTTCTGGATCCTTTCAAGATTCCACCTGCCATTAAGAAACATGATCATAAAGATAAAAGATTAACATGGATAAGTATTACATTATCATGGAAATGCCATCATCAAGCATTCACAATGCCCATTAAAATCTCTCCCTAAATCTCAACAATGCGAATAGTAAGGAAATTGAATTTGAAATTTCCATATGAGCAATGAGTGAACTGCAGTAAGATGAGGATACATATAGAGACCACAAACTTTGATTCTTCTTTGAAATTTTTCTGATAAGAAGAAATAAAAATGTTCAATTGTGACACGTATTTCGGCTACTTACCAAATAATGATGCAACTAGTGATACAAGGCGCTCTTCTAATTCTTCCTTGAAGCGCTTCTTGTTCTTTTTGCTCAAAGGAATCTAAAAAAGAGAAACTCTTATAAGTTTCGGATACTGAATTAGGAAACATAGGGGTGGAAGGCTGAGGATAGATACATCATCATTAGTAGAAAATATTAGTATACAACATACACAATATGGTAGAATCATCCCAAAACATCTTGTTTCAAAATTGAAGGTTGGGTGTACACAAAGTTTAGGGTGGAATATCCCAATTGTAAAGCATGGTAAAACTGAAGAGGAAATTTGCATGCTAAAAGTCAACTCAAATCATATCCTTTGCCTTCAGGTTAGAAAATGATTTTTTTTCATTTTCCAAAGCATCCACAAAAAAATAATAAACTAACAGTAAGTAATGGGATAGCAAGAAAACATCTCATGAAAACTATAACTAATGAGCACTCATCGCATTCAAAACAAACTGTAACTAGTGTACAACAAAAGAAGCATCTGAACTTGCCTTACCCATGAAAGCAGGAAATGCAGTCTTTAACCCCATTACGTCTACAAACCTCTCACAAGCTGGGGGATAATTAGTCATTGCGAAATCCAATGCCCTTATTGCAGACCCATAAGATAGCTTCTTCTGATTCATAATTATAATCATCAGCTCAACTCCTTCAGACTTCACAAATCTTTCTTTGTTCTCCAATGGCATCAACAAACAGCATAACGAGTCAAAAAAGTTCTCAACCATCTCTTCCTCGTCCGAAGTCTTAGGGTCCTTTGATTTGTAAGATGCCACAGCCTGCAAAACTGTGTCCACTCCATTCATTTGCCCTAACCTCTTCTGATTGGTCGTGCTATTCTGCAACAAGATCGCCAGAATCTCAGAAGCGTATTGTTTGTTGCTGTCAAACTCCTTGGCCTTGAGTCTACCCAATAACCACTTCATTAACTTAGTTCTCTCACATACAAGCTCGGAGACTGAGGGTTTCACTTCAATGAAGTTCTCGATTGTAGCTAGAGTGTTGTATATTGCTGCTGATTCATCCGGGTCAGTATCAGTTAATCGGCTGAGGTTCTGCACTAGCAGCTCAAGCACATTGTTCTCAATTAGAGCGTCAACGAGGATTTGAGCAGGCTCGTCGTTGTCCTCCAGGACATCCTCGTCCGTGAGGTCCTGAAGCAGCCCAACAACGTCTATAGCTATATCGGTGTTTTCATGATTGAGCAAGCTGCTGATGGAGGCAATGGTGCCCAGGTTCACTAAATCTGGGTAAAATTCAGGTCCGCTGGCAAGAACTTTCAGCTTCTGAATCTCGTCGTGGAGTTCCATCTCAGAGTCCACGAATTTGTCTGGCTGGTCGGGATACTTTAGCCGGGCTGCAATGTTCTCCTTAAGGCGGCGTTCGAAAGAGAGTACAAGCTTTTTTACAGTCTTCTGGTCGAGCGCTTCAACGGCGACTTGCTGGGATTTTTCAAGGGCTTCGAGGAGGGAAAGATCAATTTCATTGTTTTGGATGTCCGGAGGGGCTTGTCGGACGGCTCCGTATTCCTCCTGTTCGTACTCCACGGCGTCGCGTTTGCGTTTCGTATTGTGATTGCTGATTTCCATGGATTTCCTCCAGATGGATTCACTGCGCACGAAACCCTAGCCGGTACAAGGCACCGAACACTATAACTTCATAGGCTTGCTTAATGAGAGCCTACCAGTTACTGCAGTGTAGTACTACCTATATAAATGTATAAATGTTTAGAAGCAATTATATAAAAATAAATTGAAAAAAAAAAATAAATAACGATCGAATTGACGAATTTAATAAAAAGTTTATCAATGTACTAACATAATAATAAGAATAAATTGAAAAAAATAAATGTTAATCATCATATGATGAAATAGATGTGCATGTATGTCCATGAAATTGTCAATGATAACTACAAATTATTAAAATCTTTTATATAGAAAAGACAACGTTGACTTTCATTACTAGAATAATAGCTATTTGTTGCGGGGTTTTTTGTCTATTTGGTGCGGTTATGAACCGCAGCAATTGAAGGGGCATCAAATAGTGGGAAAACCTATTTGGTGCGGTTCAGAACCGCAGCAAATAATTGTTTTAAAAAATTGAATTTTGACTTATTGGTGCGGTTCCGAACCGCAGCAAAAAGTCTAAAAAACACACCAAATACTCTTTACTAATGGCACATTATTTTTGTTTTACGATACTAACTAAAGTTACAAAGATAATTTTTACCAAAATATTTATTGGCTACAAAATAAGAAGCAATTCATTTCTGCCATCCAAGTTTCTCATCAACACGAATCAATATCATAATTCCAAGAAGAATTAAATAATAAATTGCCAAAACTCATAATAAAGACTGATGGAGTATATTCCCGTATACCCCAGGGGTACCGCGATCGCCGGTAGAAAGCCTTGCGGGTTCATCAGGGGCAAGAAAATACTAAGTCCACATCTAGATTCGACCCCGACCCCGACCGCTAAGGTCGGGGAACACCAGGCTCAGGAATCAAGTAAACTCAGCGGATAACAGGGTCCACCGACCCTGACCTCGAGGTCGAGGTCGGGAAGCATCGAGATCAGGAGCCAACCAAACTCGACGATCCATGAGCCCGACCTCGGGACATCCGAGGTCGACATCCGATCCAACCTCAGAAGTCTTGCTCCATGTCAACACCAATCAAAGCACCAGGCGGCCAAGTCACCTCCAAAGCGAGAACGGGAGGCATCGAAACGAGTCCTCTCAACATGGGCCCGAGCCCCAAGATACCGACCTCAGTAACCCTCGAGGTCGGGAGGAAAGCACCCTGTACTTAGGCGAAATCCGCTAGGTCTTAAGTCGTGAGGAAGCATCGCCACGTCACTCTCTGCACTGGTAGAATACGCCAGATTGTCTGCACACGATTACACGGGATCTCTGGCAGGAATTCTGTTAGAAGAATAAACCAATCAACCAAGCTATCAGAAGTTCTCTCTCCAATCAGCTTTCCACGTGGCTGCTCCTGATTCATTCAGTCTGATAATTTGTTAGAGTAGCTTTACATGTATCCCTCTCCTATGAGACTAGTATCTTTTTACTTGGGCACCAAGTATTTCCCTTTCTCCTTAGTATAAATATCACCTTTCAACTTGTGGAAAGGGATGAAAATTCAGGAGTGATCGAATTCTAGAGGCTTAATCTATTGCACTCTTGAGACCGATACACCGGGATTTTGTTAAATTGAATATCTGACTTTTCCATCCAGTTCGCTCTCTCCTTTTACTTTCATTCTCGGTGAATTCCGGCCACCCCCGGTCCGACGATCCATCAAATACGATACAAATTACCATCTTGTTGTAAGTTTATCATCCCTAAAAGCTTAAAACAAATATCACACAAATACATGGCCAAAAGCATCACGAACTGAACCAAAACAACACGATAACATATGACATTATTACGAAAGAGTACAACTATGTATTACAACCCTGGAGGGATCAACTCTGGAGTCAACCCAATTAGCCCAGTCGTTTCATCATCATCCTCACCTACAGATTACCGACATGGAAATGTGAAGCCGTTTTGCATATCAAAATATATGGGGCTATTGTTAAGTTCATTATTAGGTTGACTGGATACAATATCATCTCGACTCCTTTCCAATTCAGAACTTCCACCATATTTGCATTCCCAATCATCAGGCTCACACATAGGATTGAAACTCTACGTTAAAAAGAGTGAATATGCATATTAGTGTCTCAGCGATCTATGTGTTGCAACTCCATTAAGGCACAAGAGGAAAGAATAAAACCAAAAATTAATTACCTTGTTCGGATCAAAACAGAATAAAAGAATAGGATAAAGAGAAGATGGAGATGAGGAGATGTTACCTACATTACTACATAGGATGGCACGTAACCAATGAGTTTGAGAAAGCGGGATATAAAGCATATTGTAACTCAAAGACATTAAGTGTCAGACTTAAAAAGAACTAATTTTAGTAACTTTCACCAAATTTAGATCAACGTTGACATTAACATCAACATTAACATTGTGATACCACTGCCATGGAGATCTGATGGCATAAATGAAGAGTACATGCATTTCCACATGAGTATTTGGCAAACTGATATGTACATTTATACCAATGAGATATCATGGAAATATTTTCTTGTTTTTGTGCAGCTTCAAGTACCTACCAGAAAGAATATTACGCCCTCTTCTCCAAATTAGCTTCCCACTTCCATTTTCATGTCTCAAATTATCTACTCATTTCCTATTCTTTTCCCCTTTCTGAATAATCTTATCACGTATTTCACTACTTTAATAAGCGTGCCAAAAGAAAACACGAATGGGCCATGAACCTGATTTTACTTCTTTGAAGTTTTTCATTCTCTAATGCTTCATGAAATCATTAAAAAGAAAAACTACTCCGTATATCGTAATCTTTAAATGTGCTCTTACAACCAAAGCCAAATCAGCCAAATCTGAATCGCTTATATGCCAATTAGAATGCATTTTTTAATCCTTTAACTATAGTGGCTCACTTGTTTCATGTAGTATAGCAAGTGCCTATCTAAGCAATTTCTTCTACATTAGCAAGTTAATACAAAGATCAGCTCATGTTTAGTTAGTGAGTGCAAAGATGAAATTTTCTCACGCAAAAGAATTATAAAATGTACGGAGTTCATTTAATACCTACATTCATAAAGTCAAAATCCATAGAAATTGTAGAACGTAGATGCTGACTTAGCCCTTACAATAACTTACCTCCCAAAGTATAGCTTTTTGATAATATAAGCACTCAGCAGTCCAGTCTGCAGAGCCAAAACAAGAGGTCAAAATAAAATTGAGGCAAAATGTATATAAAGGGAAGAAAATCATAAATTAAAACAAGTGGATACAAAAGCATCGAGACACACTCTAAAAGGTATGGGTAGGCATACATGCAAACAAACAACACAAGGTGTGAGAGGTAGTGGGACAAGAGCTTACTGCCACACACAGAGAAGTGCTCATATATAAGAAGTCTCCAAGAAAATGAAGCCCAATCTTGGGATCAAAACTTGACATGTCAAAACTTTCAATAGCATTGAAAAGCACCACTGATGTAGAATCATTGACAACTCCCTCTCCAAACACAAGACTGTAAAGTAGTGGTGTCTCATCTTGACTGCACCTGTTGTATAATAGAAACTTATTATGTATTTTGGAAATAGTGTTTCACCAAATTGAACAAAAAATCAGTTCATAATTTTCAGTACCTGCAATGTACAAAAAGAATCGGTTGCATCAAATATTGCACCAATTGCTAAAGTTGTTTTGAATAATAGAACAATAAAAGTTGTTAGAACCAAGAAATATGAAATCAGTGTTGTGTGTGTGTGTTTGAAACAGACAAAATATACTTGATACCTAAATAATCTCCAAAATCCAGAAAGTCAATTTTTAATTTCTTGAAAATCTCGACTGCACTTAAATAAAATAAGTTCTAGCAATATACGTTGATAATTTGTGAATAAGCTTTTAAGAAACTAAAAGAACACTTAACAACTAAAAATAAATGATGGTCAAGTAAGAAGTTCAATCGCATAAAAATAAATGGGAGAAAACACATCGGATGAAGAAATCATGCAGCTGGAGCGGTAAATATACCAAAGAAATACAACAAATATACATAAAAATAAATAGTGTACCTTGAAGTGAGAGGAGAAGAAGTGTCAGAGGCAGCGGCGTTGCTAGGCGCTGGCGTTGTTCGGCGCTGCTAGGTCGAGGCGTTGTTCAGTACTACTAGGCAGCGTTGCAAGGCGAAAACGCTGCTTAGGCGGCGGGATGAATGGCTTAGGCGCTGCTAGCTTAGACGGAGGCTGAAGCTGCTAGAAGGTTGAAGGTTTTGGGCGTTCGATAAAATGAAGAGGGTTCTTCGTCGATCGATTACATGTAGGGGAAAGTTGTGAATCTAATTGCTTGAAGGGTTTTGACGGAATAGAGGGAAGAAGCTGAAATTTCAAGGGGTTATTTGCTGCGGTTTTAGTTACAACCGCGACAAATAGGGGCACAATTTGAAGTATTTGATGTGGTTCACCTTTACCCACAGCAACTACGTACAAAAAAATGAAATATTATAAGTATTTGCTGCAGTTCAGCATTGACCGCAGCAAAAGCTTTAAATTTTCCAACTTTTTGCTACGGTCGTTGAGGAACCGCAGCAAATACTTATAAATTTTGACTATTTGTTACGGTTTAACTAAGAACCGCAACATCTGGGTAGCAGCAGATAATGAAAATTCTAGTAGTGTTTGTTGGTCGTTCTCTTCGTTACATATCACAAACATCAACCGAGATAGAGTTGTTGCTCCTGCAAGTACAACCATCTATTCATAAAAAATGGGCTGAAGGAAGAAAATGCCAAATTTTTCCAACGATTTCCCCAGGCTCTTGTTGTTAGTCATTGCATAGCTAACTATTAATGAAGTTGTCCTCGCTTTTCGGATGCAACGATGAGGTCAATAAAGAACATATTTATAAAGAAAAAAAATTGTATCAAGTTGAGCTTTTCGGCTTTCAACGCCTAATACAACCGACTACCTTGTTCACACAATGCGCCATTGTTGTCTACCTTAAATGTCAACAAAAAATGACATCCATCTCTCTAGTAGAAGTTGCATTCTTTGATGATTGTAACTTGATCAGCCTCATCAGAAATATTGTGTTATTATAAATATGTCAAGGAGGGATCTGGAAGTGGGAGAAACTTTGCTTTGGCTGATTGTGTTAGGGAAGGGGCAGTTATGGTAGAATTCATATGGGCTGTTAAGGAGAATGGTATTATTACCCTGGAGGGTATAAAGATGGTGGCTTTAGCAAAGTTTGTCGTATATTAATTTTCTCTGAGATCCTTGGTAATGGTGGCTACCATTATCATTGTGGCAACTGGCCATTATTAGTTTAGAGGGAAAATTAATTAGAATATCAAGTAGACAAACAAAGTAGGACACATTACATGATTCATGGTATAAGGAATAAGGAAATTGTTCACTTTATAAATTGGGGGGGAACTTTTTTTTTGGCATTTTGTATTACTTCTGAAAACGGTTATCCGAAATAATTTGGAAAATGAGAAAGTGAAGGAAATCTCAAGTGATTTTCCCCTAAATTTTCCCAAGGGAAAGGTGAAGGAAATTTGATAGAAGTGTTCACTTGTTGTTTGAATCGTTCTAAAGAGAAATGAAGAGTACACACAAAAAGTAAATATTGAATTAGATGCTGAATTGCCCTGCTAAAACTACAATTTTCATATTTTAAAAGTATGCTGGGAACACTTAGGAAACACCAAGGGAAAAAATAAATTACATATTCTGAAGATTATATGCTATTACTGTTATCCATTACTAAGGATGTTTTTACTTAGACTGTTTTCAGTCCCAGACAAGACCAGACTTAAACAGACCAAACCAGACCAGACTTAAACAGACCAGAGCAGACTAGATTGAACTTCCGTAGTTATAAAATACACAGAGACCAGACGTTTACTAGACCAGACCAGTTTCGCGATACGTTTTGTATAACACACCATCTATCGTCCTCAAATCTTCGTGTCGTGTCACTCCCTGGATATGGTTCAACAAACACCTCATGTAATATGACTCCCCACATCCTGGTGGAACATAGTATATCCGACCAATGGAAAAAGCTTTTTTCTTGGCATCCATTCCCTATAACCACTCTTCCATACAAATTTTTGCGGGAATTCAGCATACGTCAACTGCCTCGCCATCTCATACTTTTTATTAGCCTCCATCCAACCCAAAAACATGATATCCTTTACACTTCTCCCTCCTACTACAGAATTAAGAGGATCATTGTCCGAGAAGATCACTGTTTGCTCTCCTTTCAAATGAAAGATAAGTCGCTCAACGGGTGGATTTTTATATTGAATCTCACATCCAAGTATACGCCATGCAGCCTCACACGGAGATATGTAACAACAATCATAATACATTTTGATTTCATCCACCGGTCTAGTTTCTTCATGTCCACTTGCACTATTAAAAAAGCCTACGGTGACCCGATCGTGTCCTTTATTAATGTACTTAAATAAGTATTTAATGGACCGAGATTGGTTGCACCACTTGACATTGATATGGCCATCATATTTCATCAACAAAAACCTATTGTGCCGAACGACAAATCTATTGTCAAGTGGGACCTTGCTTTTCTCAATAGTTCGACCATCATCTCTTCTCCTATAAACTGGATATCCCTCACCATCAATAGTCGTGACACTGCACCAACCTTTAGGGAAATGCTTGCTACACCTTTTGTTAGCCATACATGGAGCAGACTTAGCGTATGAACCACATGGTCCATGCATCATAAAATCACGAGCTGCATTGTAAATACTGTGGGTCCTCATCTTTATCAGGAATCTCCGCTGAAATGACTCTATCAATGTCAGTTGACGTTGGCAACTTATCCTCACTTGCAAGCCCCAACAATATGTGTGCATGAGGTAACCCTCGATTTTGTAACTCAAAAGTGTAAACCATTGCAAAATGCAATTTAAAAATTAATATGAGATCAACATGTCATATAAAGTGGTGATTATTAAGAGGTTGCTAATTTACCTGCTTTAACATTACCGAACACCTTATTATGCCGCAAGTCTTTCATAAGACCATCCAGTTTGATTTTAAAAACTCGACATACTATATCACGCCGATCTTCAAACTTAAGATTCATGTCACGTAAAAAGCGATCAATCTCCGGCCATCTTGGGTTGCACGTTAACGTGATAAACAGATCGGGATACCCTGCCCATCTACAAATTGCCATTGCATCTTGGTAGTTTTGTATCATGTACCTTGCACCACTAATGAAGGTTGGGGGAAAAACTATTCTCTTTCCTTGAGTGGTTGGATCATTCTCTCCACGCAAAACAACATCATTTAACCCTTTGTACATTTCACAACGAAGTTGTTTTTTATGTGTTCTAACAAACTTCAATCGTGCAGACTCTATCAACGTATAACCATCAACAACAAATTGTTGGAATAGTCTCTTGGCTTTCAAAATAATTGAATACCTATATTCCCTCTCTTGCAAGTGATAGGCCAAAAACTCTCGTATGCTAACATTGCGTCTGCCCGAGCCAACGACAACCCTATAACCCGAAAGTGCAATATCTTCTCGATAACCATCCTGACCAAATGGAAACCGCAACGGATTTTGCAAACCAACATATGCGGGATTTAGTTCATTAATATGTTGCAACTTTCCGTTTTGGGTCTCCACCAAGATATCTCTCTCACCCATAGACTCATCAAAGTCTCCCACAACTAAAGTTGCAACCTCTGACACCGTGGGGAGGTTATATGTTCTTGCGTCGCTAGTTTGGTTACCTATCAACCTCAACTTCACATCAACACTCTCACATTGATGAATCGTTTCCTTAGCCATTCTAAATGATTTCACCAAAACATTGTGCTCATTCAACATGTTTCTTAAGTCCTCAACAATTCCAATGTGTACCTGGTTTGCATTAGAATCTCCCCTGAAAAAAAAAATCAAATTAATCTTGATTGATGGTTCATATCAACACTTTCATCAATTAATCAAAATAAGCCATTCAAATTGTAGCCATAAAGTTACCTCACATATCTGATTCGGTTATGAACCTCATTCTCAGTATCGTAAATATATAATTGTGCAAATTTTGGAGTCGTTCCGACCACGGGCATCAAACTTCCAATAAGGTGATAGTTTTGACCATGCAGTTTTAAAATTGGAGGAGACTTGCCTTTATTAATTGTAGTCTCAATCCGACCACCCATAAATGTGAAAGCAAACATGCTATTATAAGATCTTGTATTTTCTAGAAAATGCTTGCTTCGTGAATCTCTTCCATCCATCAACGTTTGCAACAAAATGGTGGGTCCTTGTTGTTTGGAAGTTGCACCTTACTATGTGAGCAACAAAGGGAATACTTCGGATTCTTCTTTGTAGAACTCGATTCATTCCTCTCTTCATACCGAAACAATGCTTCGCAAAATGGGCACACACAATATGGATCACCTATATCCCATAACTCTGAAATACAATAACCAATGTCTATATAAATCAAACTCAGATATGTGGACCAATTAATAACCATCCTTAAATGTTAAACGCACCTACAACTTAAGAATAGCGTAACATGTAACTTGTATTTATGCACCAAGCAAAAATGTTATTTTACAGAAAACCAACCATTATCAGATTTAGCGTTAATGCTCTTTAGATCTTCATAATCAACATATACATCATCTACATCCACATCATCAATATCTACATCTCGCGTGAAATAACTACACGAAGCAGCAATAGTGTCGTCCAAGATATCATCCGGGTTACTAAACGACACTGATGCACATGCACTCTCACATGGGATCTTTTCACTAAGAAGTGGCCTCACAATAGGTGGCTTGCAGGAAATCACAGTTGACACCAATGATTATGCATTCAACTCTAAGACTACATTATTTTAAGTTAACATTTGTTAATGAAACAAATTGAAGAACAATCATAGAATAATATGTGCTAAAAACGGGTAGCCCTTGAATGTTTTGTTATAATTACCATTAGTGGCATCCACCGTCAAAGAAATAGTCGAGAAAATTTGCTTTATAGTTCCCGTAACACTAGTACAAAGAGATTCACAAAATCTAGCATTTTGCAAAATTCTTCGATTTACATTGCGTTCGTTGTCATTATCGTCTGCAAGGAAAAATGGTTAGACATATAATGTTGGAAAATTATGTGATCCAATTGATTGGAAACAAAACACATATAAATTTTTGCGCAATTAATGTTCAATTTGTATATTTTTATATTATTATATTCTATGTCAGTGCACAATTACAACCGTCATATTAAAGGGTTCTCTTCTTCATGAGTTGTTTAACATGGAGCATTAATTAGAGTTTTTTTATAATGTTCATGTGTGCACAATATCACACCCTTATTTACAATTTATCAAATTTATTAACACTATCCTCGGTTTGTTAAAATATCACGTTTTCATTTGAATAAAATTTTAATAGCATTTTATACATAATAATTACATTGTATATTATTACAAATATGTAGTCAAAATACAATTTGCCACAAATGTAGAAATCAAAATATTGCAAATTATAAAGAATACAAAAACATAGAATTTCATTTTATATGTAGTCAAAATACAATTTGCCACAAATGTAGTAATAAAAAATTGCAAAAATATGACTGATTACTGCCATGTTTTGGCAGTACCAGACTTTAAACATGGCAATATTTTCCAACTTGACATTAATTACTCCTATTTTGGAAATAAAAACATGAAAGTCCTATTTTGATATTTTTCAAAAAAAAATTACTCCTATTTCGGGAATTTTCCCATTTTAATTACAAAATCAGCTAACCATTCCAGCCCATTGAATAATGTACTTTGAATAGGCCCAAATCACAGCATCCACCATCCTTTGTCATTTGATTATAACATCCCAGACCACCCACAATAATCCCGTTAACCGCAACCCACAATATACCCTAGCATTCGCTAGGGTTCGCATTTCACAATCCCTCTCGCACACCGCCTCCCTCTTGCAGACCGCCTCCCTCACTCATCTTCTCCCACATACCTCACTTTCACCGCAAACTCATCTCCTTCTCGCACACTGCCTCCCTGGCACAACAAAATATCCCTCCCATACACTCCATGTTGTGGTCGACGTTTTCACGATTATCAGTGAAGATCGCAACAGTCGTATTAGCAACGGCCAACCGACATGTGCTCGAATCAGACTGCGCTTCAATCGATTTGCATGGGTAAATTTGCCATCCGATTTTCTACACAAAATTTTTGTTTTAAATAGATCCTTGGTGCTCACTTTTTTTGCACGTGTTTTGTTCGACGTTGTTCATATGTAATTTATAAGCATCAGCAAGCCACGAAGATTCATCCGGAAAAGATAAGTTATTGTGCTTAATTTATTGAACACTTTGTTATTTGTTTAGAGATATTTAGTTCTAGTTGTTATGTAAATCTTGTTTTTTGATATTGAAGTTTGGAAGACTGGTGTATTTGTTGAACACTTCTTAATTTGTTAAGTTGTATTTGGATTTGGATTTAACTATTATGTAAGTCTTGTTTTCAGGATTGATCCGGAAAACACTGTTTTGGAATCATGAAATCACTGTTTTGGTAAATGATGCTGGTAAATGATGCTGAAAAAGGTAGTGAGATTGATCCCCAAGAAGCCAGGATTGATATTTTTAGACTCTTCTGTAAATGAAATTGACATATCTGTTTTGTGATAAAACCACAACTGTTATTGGATGATTATTTTTGAAAATGAAACATTGTTTGTGCCGTAAAACACTTCATGAAAGTTTATCACATTGTGATTAATTTATTGAACACTTTGTTATTTGTTTAGAGATATTTAGATCTACCTGTAATGTAGATCTTGTTTTCTGCTATTGAAGTTTGGAAGACTAGTTTATTTATTGAATGCTTCTTAATTTGTTAAGCTGTATTTGGATTTTGATTTAACTATTACGTAAATCTTGTTTTCAGGATTGATATTTTTTAGACTCTTCTGTAAATAGAATTGACATATCTATTTTGTGATACAACCACAACTGTTATTGGATGATTATTTTTTAAAATGAAACATTGTTGGTGTTGTAAAACACTTCATGAAAGTTTATCACTTTGTGATTAACTTATTGAACACATTGTCATTTGATTAGAGATATTTAGATCTAGCTGTTATGTAAATCTTGTTTTTTGATATTGAAGTTTGGAAGGTTAGTTTATTTATTGAACACTTCTTAATTTGTTAAGCTGTATTTGGATTTTTATTTAACTATTATGTAAACCCTATTTTCAGAATTGATATTTTTTAGACTCTTCTGTATATGGGATTGATATATCTGTTTCGTGATACAACCACAACTATTATTGGATGTTTATTTTTGAAAACGAAATAGTGTTGGTTCTGTAAAACACTTCATAAAAGTTTATCAATAAAATGGTTGAACTGTAACACTGTCACATAAGCTGAGAATGTAGTTTTTGGCATCAAAACTCTCTGTTGTCTCACTTTGGTGTTTGTTACGCTCCAGGCGGATCTTTTTTCGATATTCCTAGAGTATTAGCAATTTCTTACATAATATGATTGAATTTGTCATTTTTATCACTAAAATGGTTGAACTGTAACACTGCCACATAAGCTGAGAATGTTGTTTTTGGCATTAAACCTCTCTGTAGACTCAGTTTTGTGTTTGTTACGCTTCAGCTAGATCTTTTTTTTTTAATTCCCAGAGTATTAGCAATTTCTCACATAATATGATACAAATTGTCGTATTAATTATTGACTTAACTATGAAAATTTCATAGTTAAGCCTCTGTAAATGTTTCATGTTTTTTCTACAGCTTTTTTATTTAGACTCTTCTGTAAATGGGACTGATTATAGACTTAAATATGTATATTTTCAATATTTACAATCTTGCTACTGATTCAATCTGGTTGAATCAAACTGCGCTTAAAAATTTAATCTGTTACTTTAAAAATGTGAAGTAAAAAGTTTTCTATCTGATTTTCTACATACAATATTTGTGTTAAATAGATCATTGGTTCTCACTAATTTCATTTTTTTGCATGTGCTTTGTTCAACGATGTTCATATCTACGTTATATGCATGCACAAGCCAACAAGAATCATCCGGTAAAGATAAGTTCATTGTGATTTAAATGTATTTAGCTGTAGGTATTATGTAAATCTTGATTTCGGATACTGAAGATTGCAAATGTGATTTGTTTATTTAACACTTCACTATTTGTTAAGATCAATTCTGATCTAGGTATTATGTAAATCTTGTATTCAGTATAGAATATAATTAAAACTCCTGTTCAAAAGCCAACGGTACGCATACCTTCTGCACCACCAACATACACGATGTGCTTTATTTTCAAAGTCATTTTATTGATGTTTTTGTATATGGGATTGATATATCTGTTTTGTGATACAACCACCAATGTTATTGTAGTGGTATTTTTGAAACGAAACGGTATTGGTGCTGTAAAACACTTCACGAAAGTTATCTGTAAAAGATAAATAATATAATATATGTCATCACATGCGATCAAGATATCATTGAAATTATATTGTATGGTTTTTCGTATATAAACAATATATATAGGAAACATTTTATAAATGAGCTGTGGTATGTGAAGATTGGTGTTATTTGAGTAATCATCTTTCATATGTTAAGTTTTTCTTATTTCTGTTTTAATGTAACACCCTAACAGACTACATCTTTAAAAGATATTTGGTTAAAATATTATGCATATAGAAGACTTTTGCACGTTTTTAAAATCAATGCTAATAAATTTTGTTATTATTGTCCCTATCTTTGTTGATTAATGTAGATACCAAAGCATCTAATTCATGGGATTGCATAGCACCGAATCCCACAATGATGGGAATGCAACATATTTGATAAGCTTATCTCTCTTTTAATTCACAAAAGAGCCTAATGATAGCAAAATGACTCGCACCAGTCTTTGTGAGTAAAACAGAGATTGATATGTACAGTCTAGATTGTCTAAAATATATTCCCACTTTTTAAAAACCCATGTATTTGTGTTAAGCTAAGAATACAACATTTACATCTAAGTAGCAAAAAAGTATTTACCGGTAATACACTTTGACAAAGATCCCCTCTTTGGATCCACTATTGTAGACTTAGAGAGCTTAGGCATCGTTATTGAGTTCACCTCAACCAATTCTCTCACTATCTGGAACTCGCGACATTGGAAAAAATCATACATCAATTTAAAGATGTTCATTTCAAATACAGTATTTACAAAATAAAGATGTTCATTTCAAACCCACAAATTTTCAAAACATCACACACAACCGGTGTACTTTAATAAACAAAAGAGGTCATCACCATATCATAAATATCATAAATATCATAAATACATATAATAAGCCAAATAATATCTATCTGGAAAACATGGCTTATGCAAAAACAGTAAGGATGGCTGATAAATATGCATCATACAAATCTTCATCCTTAACCTAAGTACATTACATTACCATCCATGAACACCAGTTTTTAATTCCCTTCATCCCTAGTCAGCAGCCAATTAAAATTCATTTTTACCACAATCTCCCCACTAAAATATTTTTTGTTGAACTTTCTCTTTCTAGGAGAACGTCTAGCAGTTGGCTTGTAAACACCGATCTCAACAGCCCCATCAATCACCTCCATAGGCTCAAGGTGCATATCTGCATTTGAAACCATCACTGGTCCAAGCTGAGAGATTATTGGCACGAAGTCAGGTTCCACAACTTCCTCCTTCACCTCAGTTGTAAAGGGCGGGACATCATCCATCTCAAACACTTCTTCCTTCACATGAAGTTGAAAGGGTTGAAATGGATGATCTTCCACCATTTCAACCTCTGGTTTGATTTCTGGAATCATCCCGAATGAGTCCAGATCATACATTTGGTTAGCCACATGCTGACAGTAATCACACATCCACTTCAGAGCTCGATCAAAAGACATTTCCCTCGTGCAATAGCGATGTTGTGCATTTGAGCACATTGAGCACTTAACAATCAAATATCCCCATTCACTGCTCCCACATACACCGCATATCAGACCGGGTTGAATTTTTTCCCCATGACCCTGTACCTATAGTTTTAAAAAATGAGATGAATAAATAATTTTTTCAGAATCCTTTTTCGTATCTACTGTGATAAGAAAACACTCTTAGTTCAGTAGAAGTAGCTCTTAATAAAAAAGTAGCATGCATGCTCTAATTTTTGTGCATACTTTAGTGGAAGTAGTTCTTTAAGATCAAACTTGAAAATCAAGGTAGTTACAACAATGAGATGAATTCATTTTTTTTCCCCAGAAAAGTAGCATGCATGCATTGGTTTTGTAAATACTTTAGTAGAAGCTGTTGTTTAGAAAGAAACTTCAATCTTAAAGGAAGTTACCACATTAAATGCAAAGTATAAGCAGATGTCCCTCAACCTATATTTTATAAATGAGATGAATCCATTAATTTTTTTCAAAAAAGTAGCATGCATTCGTTTTTGTAAACAGAACATGAGTGGAAACAGCTGTTTAAAAAGAAACTTCATTATCAAAAGAAGCTAACATAATAAATGCCTTGGAAAAAGATTTCCAGAATATTAAATTGAAATTTAAGATTGTTACAATATTTATATATCTTATATTTCCGGAAGTTATTACCTGGTGCAAGTACAAAATTAACTTCAAACTTTATCTTCAATGCTCAGACAATCAATTTGATATGGAAGGATGAGAAAGTGGTAGGTGAAACCTCTATTTATATGAATGAAAGCATCCTTACCATCATGCATGTATTTAATGAGAATAGAAAAAAGAGCCTCCACCCACCTGTCACATCTGACAGTAGTTGTGCGGCTCATTTCTTTTTTAAATGAGTTATAAAGTGTTCTTGAAAAGGTGCTTTCAAGGTCAAATCACAGTTAATATGTGCCATTAGTAATTATTATAAATACTGCCTATTTGAGTAAATATGCAATACCATATATTTTCATTTGATGTGTATACTAATATAAAAATATATAAATATAATGAAATAAATAAATAAAATAAAAAAATAAATAAATCAAACTAAAAAGTATACCTATTTCAATTATATTTGAAATACACAAAGTATATTTACATACAAAATCATACGGAGCATATATATATAGGGAAGAGTTCAAAAAAAAGACATCTTCCCGTGCAAAGTGCAAAGAAATGCACTTTTGCATGTTTTGCTTGCACTTTTGCGTGTTTCTGTTGCACTTTTTCGCGGTAACGAAAAAGTGCAACATATTTACATAATTGCCACAGCAATTTTGGTCGAATTTTGTGCATTTTTGGCTCATTTTGAGCCATTAGATGTGGAAATGAATGCACAAGATTCATTCTCACTTTGCATGGGAAGAGGTCTTTATATATATATATATATATATATATATATAGACACACACACACACACACA